CCCTAAAATTTCATTAGCTCTAGTACTAGAACCATTAACCTTATAAGAACCAACCTTGGAACTGTGTAATTATATATACTATCAATCTGAATTTATTATGCGTATTTTCACAAAATTGACCATTAGCTATTACCTGTGAGCTAACGTAAACATTACATGATCTGAAGATAGTGGGATTTTAGACATTTTATTTTACTGAAGGTTTGTTTAGTTAATTGAAAAGTTTATGATTTTTAAATTTTCATTGCATTGTTTAAAAATATATAACAATAAATTAAATTCCCTCAGTGGGACAGAGTTTATGGACTTTAAGTGCTAAAATCTCGAGTTTATTTTTCTATGGTGGACACAGCAGATAGCCTCATGTGGCTTTGTTTTAAAATAAAAAAACAAATAATAAATATAAAATATCTATAAAAAACAAAGATTTGTTATACCTACTTGTACTTAAGCCATTGTTTTTTTTTAGTACAAATATTTGATGTTTTCCTCTAAGTCTTATTCAGTTTAATAAATTTGGGTTTCCAAAAATAATTAATTTAGTTTTCAAACATGCATTTTAGAACACAAAAATACATCAGTTACAAGAATAGAATGTCCCAAAATTACTATTACTGATGCAGTTTTTACATAAGCTCTAAATAGGTTAAAACAATTTCATTACTGTTCAGATCACTAGATTTGATCAATACAAACCAAGCAGTTCTTGTCAAGATATGAAAGAAAACTGAAAGTAAAATTGTATAGTTTAAGTGGAGAAGAATCTGCTATTTTTATTGGCTATAAACATTTGTCAACCATGTATAACTCATTATTAAACAATCTCAAAATTCAGAAAGAGAGGGGAGGGATTTCTCTGATGGATTTGATCAATTTATTGATATATTAGCAAATCCAGAAGGTAGAAGGTTCAAATTTTATATTCTTGCTTTTAGTTATAGTTTTGTTTCTAGTTGGGAATAATCCATATTTTAACATTTAGCTTACCTTTAACATACTAAAAAGTCCTTAATGGTAGTTTTTTAATAAGCCAAATTTGACTTCCTTTACTATACTTCTGTACCTCTTCCATCCTATCTGTGAATGTAAATTCTTAAACTCATGATGCTTATCCCCAACTTCCTCCTTATGTCCTCTTCCACATGTTGACCAAAGCTGTCTTTGCATGGCGGTAGCCTTTGGAGTTCGATTTCCATCTTTATTGCCAGTTTTGTTTCTAAAATGTTTAAATTGGAGTGGCTTTTGTGTTGAGGGTCATACAATGTGGCTACAAACTTTTGTGATGTTGTTATGGCAAATTCTACATCATATCCTGACAACACTATGAGGTCTGAGAAGACATTAGGCTGAGAAATTATTTTCTTCATCACAGATTTCTTTCCAGTGCCATAAAAAGCTGATACAGTATCGCAGCTGGTTAGAGTGTGTACCTCGGATAGAATGTTACAAGTGTTCTGTCCTAGATGTTTAGCAATATCATGTACTGGAATGACTCTCCTTTTATTGTAAAATGCTGTCACCACACCTCCCTCAATCCAGAGCTCCTTTACTGCAATAAACGTTTGAAACTAATATGTTGAGAGGAGGAATACGTTAGTATTGCAGATTTTATGATGACTGTGCCTTCAACATTTGTTGTTGAAAATATTCGATTTGCCTCAGCTATGTGAAGAAATATTTTTGTATTGGCCTACTCTTGTTAACTTGACATCTCTGGCATCTCTATTGCACTATGTGATGTGATTTGCAAGACATCTTTGCCATTTATGCTGCTAAGAAAATAGTGTTCTCTCTGAATCTCCTTGAAGGTTCTGATTTATATGTTGCATGATGTAATCACAGAAGAACTTGACAAAATTGCTCTTGTTACACAAACATCTAAAAACTTTTGCCAGAGTGAAACTGGACAACCTCCGAGCAAACTGTACTTCTTGTCTAGAGCGCAGTCTCCAGCATATCATTGTCGTTCTCTGGTTTTAACTGAATTCTCGATGTTGTATCTATGATATACTTCAATAGAGTATTGGCCTTTGTGAAATACTTTAATCAGATGTCCTTGTAGGATAAAGCCAGATCATTCTCATTCAGAGCTTTGATAGATTCCCTAGCATCTCGGGACATATACAGTGTGTTCTGGATTCGTTTTAGGAGCTTCAGTGAGGAACTTGCCAAATTCCTCAATAGATCTGCTTTTGTAGTCTTGCACATTGTACCATCTTCATGACACAAACTGGCTGGTACTGCTCAGATGGGATGACTGAGAACAGCATCCAATAAACATCTTCTCTATAACTGGCAAGACTTAGCACATCTGAAATATTATGTCTGGACTGATGTCAGCTAGTCTGCTGCTGTTTTTAGCTTGCACTGGAGTTCTTGATGTCTGCAAAGGTTTTTATTGGCACTTGGTGATTGGATTGAAGAAATTGCCATTACCATTTATGGATAACACTGACGATAGAAACACTGACTTCTACTGTCCTGTGCCGATTGCTTTTAAAAGTGATGTTTGTACCTCTTCTGTTGTGTGCATCCCATTCTATATGTTAATCAATGAAACCGAGGCACTGTCTGTGTCAGATGGATTGGACATGTTGTTCCAAATGTGCAGGACTACAGCCTGGACATTTTTCTCATCTTGTCCTATTCTAGAAGGAAGTAACTATTCATGGCATTTATGCTTTGTTTCTGTAGCCTTTTTGCTTTGCCCTTGCATGGTATGTCAGTATTTTCCTGTGATGTGTTGAGTTAAACACCTGTGAGTGACACTTTTCTTTTTTCCGAGTGAGACCAATGATCACTCTGTCTCCCTTAGAATCTTTAATCACTGTTTCCTCTGTTGCCAAATCACTACTGATTCCATTGAATGTGCCAGGAACTGGGAAACAAAAAAAAATCACCTGTGCGATAGTCACAAAGCAGTATGGTAGGATCTGGGTTTTTGTATGTAGGTGCAGATCCCAGTTCCCTGTTCTCTCTGCTGCTATGTTTGAAAGCAAAACCTAGACAGCATTGATAAACATCTTCCAATAACAGAAAGTTGGTGACTGTTCACTGTTGACTTGTTCGAAATCATAAAGCAATCTCTTGGAGGGTTCCATACACAATGCTGTTTCATTGCTGCTATCGGGTGGTTATGGGATGATGGAGGTCTCCATGATCTATTAGTGGTTTAATGTGTCTTTGCTGCTGCTAGTTCCTCCCAGATGCTTATGGGAAAGCAATACAAACATGCCATTCACGGACTGACACTAGAATTTGAAGTTCTGAGGAGGTGTTTCATAATTGCTTCCTTTGATTGGTGTCAGAAAGAAAGTCATCTTCAATATATCCCTTCTGTGTTCTGAAAATGTGAGTGATGTGCAAGCTGTTGTTTGATTGGCCATAGCAAATGTGATGTAGCATCTTCTTAAAGTATAAGATGATGACAAACATACCTACAAATGCAAGATATGATGTTTGAACTCATGAGGCAAAGATCACATAAGTTGTTTTGCAGTTGCATACAACTGCTGATCCATTGTCTGGATGGAGTATTCTTGTCCCATGCTTTTAGACATATCAAAATTTTTCTTCATTGTAGTGTATGTAGTGAACATGTCAGATGGCTTTTAATCGATGATAGATGCATAAGCTATTGCAGTATGTGCAGTATATTCTGGTGAGAAGAGAAAAATCACACCCAAAATGGTACTATCATCATTTGATGATGCATATGATGGCTGATATATTCAAAAAAAGAAAGAAAATATTCTTTAAAAGAGAACATTAACATTATTTCTTTACTGCTATGGTATCTGATCTAACTTACTAATGTTTATTAGAATATTATTTATATACATTTAGACTTTCTAAAAATGATTCATAGCAAGTGTTTGCAATCCCTGATCATTCTTTTTTCTGTGGCATTATTTTATTTCAATTTCAGAACTGGACTAATACATATTGAAATGAACAATACAAAAATAAAAATATATTCTCAGTTGGTCATAATTTAATAAACATGAGAACCATGGGTCACTTTGGCTCAAATTTTGACAACGTTTGCTCCACTTCACAGTTCTACAACAGGCATAGAAAGAGGAGAAATTTTCCTTTTAAATGAGCCCAAATACAACCATATGCCTTTCATGTCCATTAAACTAATTTTTTTGCAGCCTTCAGCCACTTCACGATGTAGGATAAAAGAAAATAGTACATGGAAGTATTTAGGAGTTTTTGTTTAATAAATGTTTTTATACCTATTCTTTTAATTGTAGTGACCAATCTGCTCCGAGCAGTACACATCAACTTCAGAAACTTAGATCTTTCCATGGAGAAAAGGTTAGCCATAATAGTTTTCACTAATTTAAAATATAAGTTTTTTTAGAAAACTGAAAATAAATTGATTTTTTTTGGTAGTAAGATTTATTTCTGTTATGTAAATTTTTATGTTTTGTGGACATTTTAATATTTGTGTTCTGCTTCTCAAAGACCTGAAGTGCTGAAATATTACACTGATTAGTATTAGAAATAAAGGAATTAATTTTCAAGTAGTATACTATCAAATAAATGGAGGAAGAGTGATTCTTATAGATTTTAAATTGTAATATAATATTTTTTTCCAGACTCCAGAGAAAGTTAAAGCTTCAGAAACAAGAGAAGCTGAAGATGAATGCATGGAGCGTCAAGGATGGTTAGCTTGTAAGGCCCTGACTGTGGAAGGAAAGGTACTTTTTCTAAAAACCCTTCACCATATTTTAGATACTTTCTCTGAATTTTCACAATTTTACTAAAGAATTCTAAACTGTTAACTCAAATAACAAAGAAATAACAGCAGTACCTAGGAATTATAAATGCACTAATTTGTCAAGAACTTATTTTCTTATTTCAGGTCTATCAACAATGTAACACTTCTTTGAATAACTAGTAAAGTTTTCTGTATTACTGATAATGAAGTTGCACAGAACATTAAGTAATATATAATAAGTGTAATTTCTCAGTCTTTAATGTGATGTAAATGTGAAATTTCTTTCAGTATTCTTGGTACAAAAGACAAAATATTTTAATTCAGTCAAGATAAAGCCTCTATATTTTGTATTTATATCAAATAAGAAAATTACATACTAAAGTAAAGATGTATTGAGTAGAGTGTACACTATAGTGAGAAAAGTACTACAAATAATGTCCAATTTCAAAAGTTTTGAGCTTTTCAATTTGAAAAGCATAATGAACATCACAAAGTAATTGTTTTTAGTTTCTCTTTAGTCATTCAGCATTAACTAAATACAATTTCTTCAAAAAAATGAGTTTGTCATTAGTATTCAACTGGAATTTGCCCTTTGCAAACAATTTTAGTGACATTTCTTGCCCCATACTAGAGCTTGCAATGTCAATGTGGTTTGGTGTAGCCCAAGTTAAGAAACTTTTTAACAAATCATGAGATTCCTTACTATAGCAGCAGTATATTATCGTAGCTGGTGAAGTATAAAGCTTTTTTCAAATAGGAAAGTGAGAAAATATAATAATTAGGCTGTAAAAATACTGTGCATATTTTAACATCATGTGTCTTCTCACTGTTTCAAATTGTGTTTCAACTAATTTTAAGAACTTCTGAGTGAAAGTAAAGAAGAGTGTATGTTGATATATCAACCCATACCATATTTGCTACAATCAGTGTGGATGAGGCCTTTTGCCTGGTATCTGGGCTCTTCAGGTCAGCTGGTATACGATGCACGTAGCAGTGGTTGCGATGCTACGTATATTACCAAATTGTTCAAACAACAACTCTTTTCATCTGAATTGGATTAAGTTGGTGAAGTGTAATTTATATTTATTTCATTTATGTCACTCACACTATAATAACAGTAGAATATTTATTCATTTTTACACCAAATTGTATATTATTAATTCATTATTTCAAATCACTGGTGAACCAGCAACTAGTCTTCTTAGATACTGAGTCTTTTGAGCCAGCTGGCCTGAGATGAACTCTGGTGTAAATAGATGGACTTCTGATATTCGTATAAATTTGAGTTTTTCAGAGAATCAATGAGGAAGTGTGGGGGTATAATACATGGTATCACTGCACCTTCCATTTTTGGTCTGTCAGTCTACACCTGTTCATGACATTTCACATCTCACTCCCTTCTTACAATTTGTCAGTCAGATATGTCATGTTTCAGGTGTTTCCCCCTTTAATCTATGATTCATTACCTGTTATTGGGTAAAAGTCCACCTTCTGATTATTATGTTTTTCTTTTCCTCCTCCTCAGGATCTTTCCTCACTCAGTCGTCTTGCCAAGGCCATTCAAGACTTCCTATGCAAAGAAGTTATCGAGTAGGTCTGCTCGTTTCCTTTTTTTCTTTCTAGCTTCCCTAAGCTTGTTTACAGATCCTATCTAGTGGCAGGTGTTTGCCTGGTCAGGTATGCATTGTCTCAAACCTGCACTAAACACAGTAACTATATAACGCTCAGTTGAGATGGGATATTTCTGTAAGACCACTGGATGCTTTTCCAGTGGTGTATTTGTATTTCTGTATATTATAATCATATCTTTAGTGGACCACTACTCATAGACTTTCGTGAGTAAAGCAGAAGGGGATTTTTGCCCATCCCTACTGATTATTGGGTTCGGTCTGCTTTTCAAAATAGAGAAATGCAGTCACCCATTGCACTATCTCCTGTGTGATGTTCCTCCAGATCCCCCCCCCCTTCTTCGAGTGGAGCATGGGAGTCCTTACCACTCTCAGTTCCCAGTCACTGAGGTGG